AATATAGCAGGCTATTGTTTAAGTTGATAATTTTGTATGGCCCTTGAATGATGATATAGATAGCCAAATGGCCCTTGGCAGAAGAAAGTTCCCCATGCCTGCCTTATACCCACTTTTTGAGAGTTTTTATCATTAATGAATGCTGAATTTTGTTAAAGCCTTTCCTGTAGCTCTTGAGATGATCATATGATTTTATCCCTCATTTTGCTAATGTGGTGTATCACATTGATTGACTTAAGAATATTAAACCATTCTTGCATCCCTGGAAAAAATCCTACTTGATCATGGTTTATGATATTTGTAATGTATTGTTGAATTTTGTTTGCTAACATTTTATTGAGAATTTTTACATCTATGTTTACTAGGAATATTGATTATAATTTTCTTTTCTTTTAGTGTCCTTATCTGATTTTGGCATCACTTGATGTTGGCCTAAATACTAAAGTGATATAGTATGAGTTTGAAGTGTTTTCTCCTCTTCTATTTTTTGAATAAATTTGAGGATTGGTATTAATTATTCTTTAAATATTTGGTAGAATTTATTAGTGAAGACATTCAGTCCTAGAATTTTTTGTTTGTTGGGAGGTTTTGATTACTGATTGAATATCCTTACTAGTAATAAGTCTGTTTAGATTTTCTATTTCTCATCATCCCCTCTTGGTAGGTGTGTTTCTAGTAATTTACCCACTTCTCTGGGTTGTCTAATTTGTTGGCATATAATTTTTCATAGTAGCCTCTTATGATTTTTGTATTTCTGTGGTATCAGTTGTAATATCTCCTCTTTTATTTCTGACTAGTGGCCTGTTGCACGAAGATTTGCGCAATAGGCCTTCCTTCCCCTGGCTGCTGGCACCGGTTTTCCTCCGGCACCTGGGACCCAGGCCTTTGGTCTGGCTGCAGTAGCGAGGCTTGGCTTCTCCGCTCTGGCTGCTCCCAGCCCCTCTTTTTTTTTTCCAGCTCCTTGAGCAGAGCCCAGGGCAGAATGGAAGCCTGGGTTGCCCCCAGTGACCCACGTCCCAGCCACTCCTTGAGCGGAGTCCCAGGCCGGCGGGAAGCTTGGCTTCCTCCGTCACTGGGAGCAACCTAAGCCTCCTGCTGACTCCAGCTCTGTGGCCACCACCATCTTGAGTCTTCTCTCCATGCCTGCGTATGCAAATTAACCGCCATATTTGTTGGGTTAATTTGCATAGTCACTCTGATTGACTGGTGGGTGTAGCGGAGTGGCGGAGTGATGATTAATTTACATGTTTCTCTTTTATTATATAGGATTTTACTTATTTGAGTACTCTCTCGTCTTTCTTGCAATGAAAAGACCTGTAGTCCTATCCCCTGGACACTTGAACTTGGGAAAAGACCGTCCAGTGTGCAGGTGCTTTCATACCCACCACTCGCCACTCACCACTCTCCCCTCTCCTCCAGAGAGGGCAACCACATGGGCCATGCCCCATTCCACCAGAGGGCTCTGTGCAGGTGCTGAAGCGAAGACTGGGGGGTGGAAGTTAATATTGGAAAGTTAAAGTATAAACATCACTGATTGTAAGTATAGGACAGAGGATAGGAAGTTTTTGAACAGTAAAACTCTTAGCCCCTGGAAGGATTTTTAATAATTTGCTCAAAAGGGTCAGGATATGCATGCTGTGCACAGGAAGAGATATACTCATAACTTGGGCACGAGTCTAAGATCCTACCAAAAAGAGATCAGGTTAAGAACTTTTCCTTTGTATTCTACCTGCTACATTTTTATAGGATCCTATAATGAAAATCCTATATAATAAAAGCCTAATATGCTAAGTGTCCAGCCGTCCAGTTGACCGTTCAACCAATCAAAGCGTAATATGCTAATGATATGCTAAGGCTGTTCAACTGCTCGCTATGATGTGCACTGACCACCAGGGGGCAGACAGTTGACCAGTCAACCAGTTGCTGTGACATGCACTGACCACCAGGGGGAAGACGCTCTGACTGGTAGGTGAGCTTGCTGCTGGGGTCCGGCCCATCAGACTGAACAAGACGGGCCGAACATGCTCTGGAACACTCCCATGGTCCCTCCTTGGCTGGCCAACCTCCCATGTCCTTTCCTGGCCCTGATCGTGCACCGGTGGGGTCCCTCGGGCTGGCCTGCACCTTTTGCCAATCTGGGACCCCTCAGGGGATGTCGGAGAAATGGTTTCAGCCCGATCCCACAGGCCAGGCCAAGGGTCCCCACTGGACCACGAATTCGTGCACCGGGTCTCTAGTAGGCAATAAAAGGTGCTGGGAAGAGATGTAAATGAAAATTAAATGTGAGGTAACTAGAGTTAAGCCAATCCTCCTTAGCAACAGAGCAGATGGAATTGAAAGTGAAATTTGAACTGTGTTATTAAGCAGATCATCACCTACAAATAGCAATAAGCCTGTGATACAATAATATAAAAATTGACACCAAGTGATTCCCTGCCCCATGCTAAAGAGTAGGAGAGAAAACATACTCTTATGTCCCTGTGTTAAATACTGAGGACAAGAAAAAATAACTTAGCTACTTCATCCAACAAATATTTGCTCTTATAGAAAATAACACTGAACAAATTAAAATAGCTTAATTATCAAAATGAAAATAGTTGTCCATCAAGGCTCATTTCAAGATTCTTATCTTTATCCAATTATTAACCAAAATTATTATGCCATAAACTCAGCCCAGTTTCAAGCAGTACTCCACCTTTCAAGACCCAGTTAGCCAAAGCCCTAACACCTTATAAATATTCTCCCTTAAATTCTGCAATTTAAGACGCTACTGAGACTCTGATAAACCAGTATCTGCAGTCAATCTAATAAACTTTGTTTTGCTTAATCAATAGCTGTCCCCGATGACTTTTCAGGAGGTAAGTAATATAACTAGTTCACTGTTGAAAGACAAAGATCAAGTGTCAGTGGCCAGAGGCCTAAGACCACCACAAATACACAACAGCTGAACAGAGTTGGGATTTGGCGGAGTTAATGATTGCAAGAAGGAAAATGCACACCATGGAGAACTGTGGGTGTGTCTCAGTAGAAGTGTGTTGGGATTGCATTATTAAACTTTGGGCCTTTGTTAGGTGGTTTTGGGACAGTTTGAAGGAAGTGAAGCTTTGCTATCATTGAATGTTGTCAGGAATTGGAGGCAATTCTACAGACTAGCCTATGAACTATCTATTGCTGCATTACAAATTACTACAAACTTAGCAGCTTGAAACAACATGCATTTGCCACACCATTTGTGGGTCAGGACTCTGCATACAGCTAAGCTGGATTTTCTGCTCTTGAATTTTTCACAAGGCTGCAGTCAAGGTGTCAGCTGGTACGCTTAGAGCATCGGCCCTTCTACTCTCTCTAAAAAAATCAATGGAATAAATATATCCTCGGGTGAGGATTAACAAAACGAAACAAACAAACAAACAAACAAAAAGCATCCAAAACTTATAAATAAACTAAAGGGATTGCTCTTTTTTTCTTTCAGTGTTTTTACTGAGCATTGCCAAGCCCGCCCAGGAATTATCTGACTCCTAGGAGTTTTGCCTTTGCTTAATTTGCTATTTTACGATTGGTTTAGATAATTTACAACTCTGTAAAAATAGCCTTAAATGATGCTTGTCTTATAGCAATGTGGTTTTATTGCCCTGTAAAACATTAACTAGGTTCATATCTAAATTAGTAATCTCATTCAAGCATTCATTCTTTCAGCCACTCTAAATAATTCCTTTTTTTCCAATTCTTTTTGAACCATCTTGCAGGTCCTATCATTAATTAATGAATTCAATATTTGACATGGGCTCACTTTACGTTCATATGAAAGTTATATATTTAACTTTTTGAAAATTATACTTTGACATCACTAGTCTCTTAGAGACTATGCCTTTTAACCCTACATCTACGGTTTTTAGAATATAGCCGGTGCTCCGAAAGTGTTTACTGAGTGAAGTGAATATTGCAGATAAAGAAACTGTGCTTAAGATAAGAACTTGCTTGACTTCATATGGCTTCTGATGTAATAATGAACTGGGATTGAAAACTTCAGTTTTTAAATTCTAGTCCAAGGACATTTTTAATGGAACATGACAGCTTGAACTCCATATATATTCAAATACTGTGGTTACCACATGCTTGGAACAAAATATTCTGTTACCTGAAATAAAACTTAAAAATGGTACAACTACCTTAAAATTTATTATAATATTTAATCATCTTTATGGATGTCAAAATTATGTATAACTGTAATATAAAGTAAGTAGTTAACATAACAGGACACTTCATTGCATAATTAGTGAACAGTTTTATTACTATAATACACACATATTAAAATTTCAATAGGAAAATATAATAAATATGAGTTATTTTTAGAAAAAGGAACATAGCAGTTCAGAATAATGCCATATTTAAAACATTTTATAAATCATAATACTTATATTACAGTTTTAAAAAAAGTACATTTATAGAACAAGGGAGAACATCACACAATCTTGCATAAACTTACTCTTTCTTTCAGAGGATAAATTCTAAAAACTTGGCTAAAATAATGCCCTTATTTTGATTATGGAGAAAGAGAGGCAAGAAAACTGTCATGAATCTTAGAAAAATGACTTTTGACAGATATCATTTAGAATTTCTTAAAATAAATACACATGCCATCATAATCACAAAAATATTTTATTGACATGCTTGTCTATGACAAAATAAGATGTAAAGGAACATCCCTTTCTCTAAATATATAAGTTCTGAATATATAGGTCAGTTAATGAAACATTGGTCAATGGCAGACTGCATATATGACAGTGGTCCCCTAAGATTATAAAGGAACTGAAAAATTCTTATCACCTAGTGATGTAGCTGTTGTAACATCATAGCACAACACATTACTGTGGTGATGCTGGTGTAAACATCTATTTATATGACTGCTGCCAATCGTGTAAAAGTATAGAACATGCCATTACATAATACTCCATAATATGAATGACTATGTCACTGGTTTATGTGTTTTTACTCTACCTTTTCTATATTTAGATACACAAATACCATTGTATTTGAATTGACTACAGTATTAAGTATAGTAACATGCTATATAGGCTTGTTGTTTTTATTTGGGACAGGAAAATCATTTATAAAAAGCAATAGACAGCCCTAGTCGGTTTGGCTCAATGGATAGAGCATCAGCCTGTGGACTGAAGGGTCCCAGGATCGATTCTGGTCAATGGCATATGCTTAGGTTGTGGGCTCAATCCACAGGAGGGGGAGTCCAGAAGGCAGCCAATCAATGATTCTCTCTCATTGTTGATGTTCCTCTCTCTCTCCCTCTCTCTTCCTCTCTGAAATCAATAAAAAAATATTTTTTAAGAAAGCAATAAACATGCAAAAGGTTTTTAAATTAAAGTAATTTGATATACTCTACCCTGAACAATTTTAAGACTTTCTTTCAAATTTTCATCATAGATATGTCAGGAGCTAATTCTGGTATTTCTGCAGCAATTCTGAGCAAATGGCATTTACAGTTTTGTTCAAGAATGTTTGCAAAACTGCTTCAAAACAAGAACCAGTCTGGCTAACATCTCAGGATAATAAAGCTAAAGTCTCCCTCCTTGGAGACATTCTACAGTATTACAGATAATGTCTCTTTCTAGACTGCAGGAAGGCAAGGTCAGCCAGCAAGTCCTACAAAGATAAAAATCATAGTCTCACATTTTTTCATCTGTGACACAGATGTACCATTTGTGGAGTATCAGCCTAGCCCTCCGCATTGCCCCTTTGGGGTGTGGGGCACAGGGAACCAATGGGAACATGAAGTTATGCTGCCTGCTGGGCCGTGGTAATAATCTGCAGGCATTTGGGCTTATTTTCTCGTTACCAATCAAGTACACGGAAGTGTGGCAAGCTGGCCAGTTTCTGCTCCTTGCCATCTACTTGACTGCTTGACAGAATAAAATTGGAGATTGTAAGAAAATATGGATTTGGAAGAAGAGGCAAATGATTTGGTCTGCATGGACATCTACCCCCAAAAGGGGAGGGGGATGAAAAGAAAACACATACAGCATTCTTGCCGACTATTCTGGGAGTAGTTCTAAAGTATACATTTTCCGTTACCATCACCTGTGGTTGGCAAATCCTTTAAGGAAAATGATGTGTCAAGATACCTTAGTTGGATACAATTATCTGTTAAAATATCAAAATAGCCCTGCCTGGTACGGCTAGGTTGGTTGGACATTGTCCTGTGCATCCAAGGGTTGCAGGTTTGATTCCCAGCTGTGGGCTCAATCCCCAGTAGGGTGTGTGCAGGAGGCAGTCAATTGAATTTTGCTATTACATCAATGTTTCTCTCTCTCTCTCTCTCTCTCTCTCTCTCTCTCTCTCTCTTTCCTCTCCTTCCTTCTTTCCTTTCTCTAAAATTAATTTAAAAATCTTACAAAAAATCAAAATAAAGCCCTAGTTTGGATCATATATTCACCAAATAAATGTAAATGTGAAAATAACTTTATTTATCATTTAAAGATGATGATACTCCTCTTAGCAGTTATATTTCTAATGTAAACAGTAGATCTCTCTCTCTTTCTCTCTCTCATTAATCTCTCTCTCTCTCTCTCTCTCTCTCTCTCTCTCTCTCTCTCTCTCTCTCTCTCTCTCTCTCTTTCTCTCTCTCTCCCTCTATGAGAGTTTTATTACAATTACTCAACCTCCAAGTCTAACCACTTGGCAAAACTTAAGTTTAGAAGTCTATATAAACTGAAACTAGTCCTGGACTTAGTGAAAAACAAGGCTTCCATGAGAGACAAATTAAATTATATAACGTACAGAGTATGCAGAGAGAATACTATAACATAGATTCACATAATAATATGGAGTATACTTGTCATCTTTACTCCATTTTTAAGTAAAGAAAGGTCTTCTAAAAACTTACTTTATGTTGCAAACTTTGGCCTTGAGAATTTTGACTACACTCAGTATAATAATTTAATTCAAGAAATATTTATTACATATCTAAATGGACTTGCACTGATGTAAGTGCTGGAAATACAATAGTGAATAAAACACTAAAATAATAACTCCATTCAGCCCTGAAACCGATCCTCAATTATTGAGGTGTTACTCTTGGTGTAAAATGGCAAGCACCAAACTTGTCATTTTACAAGCTACAGGAAGACACCAGAGAAGTTTGAACCGCTCTAAATATGTATATAAGCTGAATATCACCCATTACTGCTTATAATTCTATTGTGTGTCGTGTTAGTCTTCCACTCTGTAACTCATATTTCATTGATGGCAGCTCTCGTAGAAACTCCTCAGGCTTCTGCCAGTGCAACTCCCCGCGCTCAGTCCCTTCCTCAGCGCAAGTGCTCCTTCAAATAAGACTTCTGTAGGTTTGCAGACAGATTTCAGGAGCAGCTTTTCTTTCATTCAATCCATTATCTTGCTTGTCAAATCAAAAACAAATCTGGACTAAGGAGGAAGAGACTATTTGAAAGGATTATTGCAAGGAGGTGGAGGTGGAGGGGCCAGGGAGGGGCTATTGCAATAAGAGCTCTGACCATAAGAGTCTGTAAGCTTCTCAAGGGTTAGGCCAGAGGGTGTTTCTTGTACAGCAAGGAAGAAACCAGGCTGCAGAGAAGCAAAGCGAAAGGGAAGCTTGATTGGATAGTAGATCAAAGAACGTTTTACCTCGAGGTCAATGTACACTCAAGAGAGGCTGAATGCTGGCACTGGCTGAAGGTGGGTCACAGTTCAGGTGCCTGGAAGGAGAGAAGCTTCAAGTTTAATAATTATTTTGTTTCCATTCACCAGTGGGCAAAAGCAGTTCATCTAATTATTTATGAGACAAAAAAAAAATATGGGAATTTGGAGAGTCCGTGTCTTGCCTCAATCATATGGGGAAGCATGTTCTTGCAGTAAGCTATCTTCGACCTAGACACAAAGAGGATTTCTTTTTTTTTTCCCCAAAGGGGATTTCTTAAATTGGCATTATTTTGCAGTATCACAGAGCTTGTGCAAAGTTCAAAATTCTTACACTTTATAATTTTATATTCATTGGTATAACTATCTGACTTAGGTGTATATCGGTCATTAAATTTTGATACAGGAAAACATGGCCTCGCCAGGCAATCTGTGTGCTAACTAGCAGTCAGAGCATACACAGGAAAGAAGGAACAAATGATTTTGAAGAGTCAATGGAAACTTTACATCTCAGTTCCCATATCCAATAAATGAAGGGATTTAGTAACTATCTTCATTTTCTGAAACTGTTTAATTTTATAAAACAAGGTGTTTACACAAATACTAGTCTGGGATGGAACCGATTTAACATAACTTTTAGCTATGGAGGGCAAGATGACATTTTTCTTTTTTTCTTTTTATGGCACGCTTCACGCGTTTGCATGTCATCCTTGCGCAGGGGCCATGCTAATCCTCTCTGTATCGTTCCAGTTTTAGTATATGTGCTGCTGAAGCGAGCACAAGATGACATTTCATTGGGTACTTTATCTTGTGCATTTGAAGTTTTGTTGGAGTATAGTGAATAATTGCAAAAATAGAGATTTTAAATTTTGAAAAGTATAACATTTTAGTTTAATTGCCTTTCTCCTCCATCATCCTGAGAAACAGAATTTCATTATCATCACTTTTGTGTTACAACCCCCACAATGTCTGATGATGCTCATGCATTTTTTCTTCACTTAGAAGCTAACCTCCCTTCCATCTATCCTCCTCTTAAGAAATCAACTGATCCAAAGACATACCCTCTTTTGATTTCTTGCTCTAACAACTCCAGAGCTTAATGCATGAGAGATAAAAAAAAAATGTTCCCCACAATTAGCTGCCATTTTGGACTGTCAGTATGATGTTCTTCCTTTAGCAATAAGTCATTTTAACTCAGTTTGTTTCTATAATAACAGGTTACTTTATTCAAGGGGGCTTTTCTACACTTTATTTTGATGAAACTGGAAAAAGCTCCACCTCCTTTAAGAAAATAAAGGATTTTAAGAAACTCATCATGTAAGTAACCACTCCTTTTGTGGGTAGAACCAGAGGGAAATTCTCACTCAATAAACCAGGGTCCCAGTTATAAGCAAAATGGGAATCACATAACTCATGTAAACCAACTGAGGGTTTCCGCAGTAAAATAATTCCAAGTCTAAGATATGTCTGTACTTGAGAGAAAAATTCATGGTAACTCAGGAGTTCAAAAATCCCAGGGTATTTTCTCCCCCTGCCAAGGTATTCCCCAAAAGAAATTTAACTCAGTATAATTTAGAAGAACTTTGAAACACAGGAGGGAACCTAAAACTCAGTAATTTTAGTGGAGGAGTGTGGTGGTACTTAGAATAGTTGTGATTTAAGAGATAGAGCCTGTGAGGACAAAGTGTATCTATCAGGAAGGTGGGGATCCCCAACTGTGAGACCCTCAAAAGCTTAGAGCAGTGCTTCTCATTTTATAGTGCACGTGAAGCACCTAGAGCTCTTACTCAAATGCAGATTCTTATCCAAAAGGTCTTGAGTAGGGCCTGAGATTTTGCATTTCTAACAAGCTTCCAAGTGATGCTCATTCTATTGGTCCTTGGCCCATCCTTTTATATATATATATATTCTAGAGAGGAAGGGAGAGGGAGGGAGAGAGAGAAACATAAATGATGAGAGAGAATCACTGATTGGCTGCCTCCTGCACGTCCCCTACTGGGGATTGAGCCCGCAACTTGGGCATGTGCCCTCAACTGGAATCAAACCTAGGACTCTTCAGTCCACAGGCTGACGCTCTATCCACTGAGCCAAACCAGCTAGGGCTTTGGCCCGTACTTGGAGCACCAAAGTCCCCATGAAAGTCTGTAAGGCACAGCCTGAAAGCAGTGACGTTCAGCAGTAACAAGGAAGTGGTAACAGGTGGTGTATCCTCTGATTATCAACCAAATGACTAAACTCCACCTGGATTCATAAAAGGAAGCCTTTTGTAAGGATCTTTGCAAATTTTCTTCAGGGAGACCAAGATTTCTATTAGCAGCATGAATCGAGCAGGCGTGTTCAAGGGTTCCTTTCATATGTATATTAAAGCTTACATTTCTTTTTTATCCTTTAACATTCAAAGTGGTTTATATATAAATATATATGATCCTGGTTACAAATTTAAATTTGGTAAGAAAAAAAAGTCTATTTATTAAGTCGGGACTTTGTCAAATCTTTCAGTTTAGCATTGTCAATCTTTTCCTTTCTGGTGCCTGATTGCTAATCCCCATAGACTGAGACTTGAGGCTAAAATTGTGACTAAGTATTTAACACTGAATGATGAAGTGAAAGACATCTTGTTCCCCTGAAGCAGAATGTAAATTCATTCCTAATGGAAATCATGGCTTTCAGTCTCAAAGTACCTGATGAATTAATGAGCCACCTCTATAGCATGTCAATATTTGAGCTGATTTAGGATTATTTTTTATGATGTCCAATGATTTGTCAGAAACATAT